TACAACAGCCTAATATTTATGTTGCTAAGTGAGATAATTCTTGTGAGTTTTGCCACATTTTATGACATTTCTTGTCACAGTTGTTAAGTGAATCACTACAATTGTTAAGTTAAAAGCATGGTTAAGTGTATCTAATTTCTCCATTGGCTTTGCTTGTCAGAAGGTTGCAAAATATGATCACGTGATTCCAGAACACTGCAATTGTCATAAATATGAACCAATTGCCAAGCATTTGAATTTTGATCACGTGACTATAAGGATGTTGTAATAGTTGTAAGTGTGAAAAAATGGTTCTAAGTCACTTATTTCACTGCTGTTGTAACTTCAAATGGTCACTAAATGAATGATTGTAAATCTGGGACTATCTGTAATATCAGTGCCCCCCCTCGGGATATTTTTTCTCAAAGCTTGATCATCAGAAATGATAAGTCATTTTTTAAAAAAACCACAAGTTTTAATCAGAACCAGATTTATAGAATTAGAATCTTTTTCAAGTTGTAAGGTATACTTAGTTCTCGTTTAGTGACTGCTTCATATAGCAACTATTTGCAGTTAGGAAAGTTATGAAATAGTAATTTTGCAACCAATTCTCACATTTATGACCTTCAGAGGTCTGTAAAACAAAAGAAAAAATAAGACCATAAACACAGTCGGTTTCATTTAGCAGTTCCACTTAGCTGACAATCAAGTTGTCAGTCCCAATTGTAATTGCTAAATAAGGACTAGCTGTATTATTAGATTATTGTAAACTAACTCACTTTAAAGCCAGCAATACTTTAAACCAGGCATCCTCAAACTACGGCCCGCGGGACAGATCCGGCCTGCCAAAGCCATTAATCCGGCCTGTGCGGGACCATGAGGCTGCCCCGCCCACATCACCACACCCACCTGCCGGCCCCCACCCTTCGGCCACGGGAAGGGCTTAGATTTGCGAGGGCCGGCAGAGTACTTCTGGGGGGCGGGGGCAGGGGAGGCCAAAAAAGGGGCAGGCGGAGGCCCCAGAAAGTATCCACGTGCCCTGTTTTTGGTTGTCAGAGTGCTTCTGGAGGGCGCTGGGGAAGCCAAAAACAGGCCACGCCTTTTGCCAGCAGAGGAAAGAACTCTTTCCTCGGCTGGCAAAAAAGGGACTTCGGTCCACCATTGCTCCTCTGGGGGGGGGGGGAACCGAAGGGTCCCAACAGACAACACTGCGTGATGCTTTGTGGAGGCAGCTTTGCTCAAACGGGGATGGGGGGTGGGGGGCTGGGTTTCAGCTGTCGCAACCGTCTCCTGACTGTTTCTTCACAGATCAAGGGGGGGATCTTTGCTTGCTCGAAAGATCAATTTTCTCTGGCAACGGTAAGGCAATTTGAGTTTGGGAGAGACTTGGGACTTGGAATGAGAATCTATCAGGAATCAGGTGAACCTCCCTTCTTTCTGTGGATCTGCGCAACGTGGGATTCTTTGAACACCCCCACCCCCATTTCCGCTTCTCTCCTCGCACTGCTTCACAGCTCTGGTGGAAGGGTTGGCAGTTCCCCAGATAGGGCTGCCCAGAGGGTGACGAACCTGGAGCAGAAGTAGAAGAAAAAAGGCTGCGCCACGCAGAGAAAATGTCAGCACGAAGACACCGTTCTGTTCTGGGGCTTCCGGGTTTTTTGTGCTTCCTGATCTCCCACGTGGAACAGATAGAAACAGGGGTTCCCTGTACCTTTATGACCAATGGACTCCAACTCTCAGAATTCTCAGGGCTATGAAAGACTTAGAGCTGAAGCACAACCCCGGGGGGGGGGGGATGATATAACAAGAAACATTTCGTCAGAATGTTCAAATGTACAATAATCCACTTGTAACAGCTGAATTTCTTCGCTCTTTTTGGGGGGGGGCTGTTTTGTCCTGCTGCCCCCTCAAATCTCTCATTATGACTATAGGAGCCATTGGGGTAGCACTACCAGTGGACACAAATTCAAATATCCCCCCCTCCCTATTAAGGCGAACGTTCTTTTGCATAGTCCTCCCCACCCCCACCCCCTACTGATAAAGAGCGGGACTTGTTGGCCTTTGTTCTAATGATCGGGGGAGGATGCTAGGATGAGGCTTCAGGAGGTCCGGGAGGGTGGATTCCAAGGAGGATGGAAGAAGTTGGGGCATGCACATCCCCCTCCCCTCCCCTCCATTAGATAAAATGTACTTTCACTCATAAACTCATCCTTCATTCCAGAGTTATCCAAATCGGAGATGTGGAGTTAGTTAAATGGGGGGTGGGGTGGGGGGTGTTCAAAGAATCCCACATTGCGCAGATCCACAGAAAGGAGGGAGGTTCACCTGATTCCTGATTGATTCTCATTCCAAACCCGAAATCTCTCCCAAACTCAAATTGCCTTACCGTTGCTAGAGAAAATTGACCTTCCGAACAAGCAGAGATTCCGCCCTTGATCCATGAAGAAACAGTCAGGAAATGTTTGTGACAGCTGAACCCCTCTTCCCCCCCCAGTTTGAGCAAAGCTGCCACCATGAAGCATCGTGCGCTGTCAGCAATGGGGCATTACTCGTGCTGGGACAACCAGGGGTGAGCGCAGCCCCACTGCCCATGGTGGCTCCTTCCACAGGTGGATTTTTTTGTTTTTGACGGACCGGATCTCCCCCCCCCCCCCGTTTAAATCTACTGTATTTCCTTTGTGGAATTTAGCTGCCACACATAGATATCAGTCCTGGCGTTGGTCAGTGAGGCAGCCTGCCCCTGAAGGAGGACAGCTGTCTCTACCCCTGGGGAGGGAGGGAGGAAGGGCATGGAATGGAATAGAAAAAGGAGAGAATGAAATGGGAATAGGATGGGATGGGATGGAATAATAGCAATAGCAATAGGATGAAGTGGGAATGGGAATGGGATGGGATGGAATGGAAATGGAAAGAAATGGAATTGAATTTAATGAGGTATCCCAATGCACTGCCAGGATTGAAGGGATCCTGCAGAAGATGCCCCAGGAGAGAGAGAGAGAGAGAGATAGGTGGAAAGAGAGAGATATGGAAAGAGAGAGAGAGACACACACACACAGATAGATAGGTAGATATAGAGATGAGAGATGAGAGAGAGAGAGGCTTGTTGATTGAAAGCTCTTTGGAGCTGAGAAGAATTGCTGCAAAATTGAGTATTCTGAAGTGGACCACTAAACAACTTAAAAAACCATCTAGTAAAAAGAAAAGCCAACCAAAAGAGCAACATGCAAACAAAAGCAAATAAAATACTCCCAGGAGCAAAACAAATGAAAGTTTCATGTGTGTGTATTGTTTAATGGACTGCTAAATTGGCAAAATGGACTGCTAAATTGGCCACACCCACCTAGCCACGCCCAACCAGTCACATGGCCACCTAGCCACACCCAACCAGTCACAAGACCACCTAGCCATGCCCACCCAGCCGGTCCGGCCCCCCAACAGTCTGAGGGACTGTGAATTGGCCCCCTGTTTAAAAAGTTTGAGGACCCCTGCTTTAAACCATAGAGAGGAAGATGCTTCCCTTTCATATGCACTCAAATATGGCAACTGTTATTCTTGAATTGTAATTTCAAGGCTCACAGTGAACCTTGGAATTACAAATTAAAGAATAATAGTTACTTACTTATTTAATTTAATTTATATGCTGCCTATCTCATTATTCAGAGCAAATAATATTACACTGTTACTTAGTTCAAAAATGTAATCAGAGAAGCAGTAGCAGCAAACAATATAACAACACTGTTCTATTCCCTAGCATCTTACTTCAATATCCATTTCACTGTGATCACCCCTCTGAAGTTGGGGTTTGCTTTGTTTTGCTTCTTGAAAGGATAGCATGGTAATTACATATATATAAACAATTCTTTTTCTTCCATCTCAACATTGTTTAAGTGCTTAACTAAGGATGTTCTTAATGCTGTTCATGCAAATCCTCACAATCTAGTCATTCAAAGCATGGTTACACATTCTAAATTATTATATTTGTGCCTTGCTATTGTTTTCAAAGTTGGATTAAACTTGTATTTTGGTACTTTTGATAATGAGAGGCATATTTTCTTTTGAAATGTTTGGAAAGTGAGGAATGGGAAAGTTCCAGATAATAGAAGCAGGGAAGAGACTGAGCCCCATGTTACTTTCTTGTGGGCTTCTTGTGGACACTTTCTCCACATGTATTTAATATCTACATGAAGCCAATGTGGGAAGTCATCTATAGATACAAGATCGGCATGTCCTTGAGGCACTAATTATGGTGTTTGGAGACCATTATTAGATCTGGATAGAAAAAAAAGGTTCAGATTCAGGCCTTCCAATTCCAAACATATTCCATCTTTGGTTCTAGTTGAGACCCTGTTCCCTCAGTGTTAGTCACACTGAAGTGGATCATAACTTGAAGAAGAAATAGCACATATGGGCTGAAAGGCTTCTTGTGTTTCTTGGTCACTTCTCACTTAGCTACTGCAATGCACTCTACATGGAACTGCCTTTGAAGACCACTTGGAAGCTGGTCCCGAATTCAGCAGCTTAGGTAATTATGGTCATTCCTTGGTTCACCTATGCACTTCTTCAACTCTGAGAACTGTACTGGTTATTAGTGAGATGCAGTGCAAGATGTTGGTTGTTTCATGTCTTTAATGGCTGGGTGTCTTGGGTATGTTTGTGAATGTTCCCAATACCTGCTTAATAAGACAAGGGAAAATAGAATAGCTCCTTGGATAATTTCTCACAAGGAAATTTATCAATAAGGACCATGGAAGTCAGTCTTTTCAATTGCTGCTATTTTGATTTTATTTCTTGCTTTAAACATGTTTGCAAATGATAGGCATTATAAGCCACTCAGAGTCAATTTCAATTGAACTAAGTCTTAACATCAAAGCTTCTTTAAACTTAAAATCAAGTATTCTTAGTTTCTACTTGATCTAACTGAAAAACAGATAGATAGATGGTGTCTCTGGTGTTTAGTGAAAAACAGAGACACTATGTAGTCTACATGTTTTCTAGATCTTTATTAGATAGCAAAAACTCACTTGGCAAATCCAATGAAGTCTTCATGGTTTGTGTTGATATAGGACAGCTCTATGTCAATCAACAGGAGAATCTGCAAAAAGAATGATAAGAGTTTCTCAGTTGTAAACAACATGAATTAAAAACTAATCCATCTAGTCTATTCTACATTTAAGGAAGATCAACTATGGAGATTAACATTTATTTATTTATTTGCATACACACATAAATTTAAAGAACACCCAATTCCAACCAATACTGGACACTTAACAAAATAAAAGCCAGAACAATAAAATAAAGAAACAGACTACATGAATGAAGAAAAACATACTGAATAGATTTACAAGAATACAAATTTTACAGGATTCACCCACCATCCTACTCCAAGTTCTGGGAGAATAGAGAATAGCCAGTTTCTCAGTACCTTCATAACATTAACAGGGTGGGAATCATATGACTCTCTGATAGAATGCTATTCCAGAGGTAGGTACCATGATAGAAAGGGCATGATTCCAAAGCACCAATAAATGATTCCAAAGCACCAATAAATAACATTGTTTTAACTGAAGGGACCTGAAGGGACCACATTGCCAAAACTTACAGGATGTGCATAAAAAATAAGTGATAAATGGTCCCTAAAATAACTAGCCCATATGTCCTAGAGGGCTTTATTAGTATTAAATAGCACCTTGAATTGCACTTGAATTGCAGCCAGCTGGCACTAATACAGTTTATGGAGCCATGAAATCACATGGGCATACAGTGGCATGCCTACTATTGCCCAAGTTGCTACGATCTGGACTAGCTGCTGCTTCTAAGTGGTTTTCAGCGGCAGCTTCATACAAAACACAGTGTAATAGTGCATTCATGAGATAACTAAAGCACAACTGATTAGAGTCTGTGGGGATCTGGACTGGAAGAGCAGTCTTCAGCTCAACCCTAGCAACACAGTGGCTATGGATTTTAAGGCTTCCCTGTTTTTCCACTTTTAATTCTGAATGTAGTTGAATCAGAATAGAGCTTCTAGTCCAGCCCCTTGCTCAAGCAGGAGATCCTATACCAGTGATGGCTAACCTTATCCAGACCGAGTGCCCAAAGTGCGCATGCCCGAACCCCCAAAATGCAATGCGCATGTGCCCCCCGCACATGCCCCCTGCCCCCGCACTTGCGTGCATGCACCCGCACGCCCCCCACTCCTTGCGTGCACCCCCTGCATGTGCCCTACCCCCCGCGCATGCATGGCAGAGACCCAACAACCAGCTGGCTGGCGGGAGGTGCGTGTGTGCGCATGTGCAGCAGAGCTGAACTTGGGAAACGGCTCGCATGCTCACGGAGAGGGCGCTGCATGCCACCTGTGGCATGCGTGCCATAGGTTCGCCATCACAGTCCTATACCATTTCAGACAAGTGATTGTCCTTAATTCCAGGTTGCTTCTCTCCTTGATTAGTTTCCATCCATTGTTTCTTGTCCTGCCCTCTGCTGTTTTGGAAAATAAATTGACCCCCTCCTCTTTGTGACAGCCTCTCAAAAACTGAATACTGCTATAATGTCTCCCCTACTCCTTCTTTTCTCTAGACTAGCTCAACTCAAATCCTGCAACCGTTCTTAATATGTTTTAGTCTCCAGGCCTTTAATCATCTTACTTGCTCTTCTTTGCCTTTTTTCCAAAAGCTCAACATCTTCTTCATACTGGAGTGACCAGAACTGGATGCAGTAGTCCAGATGTGGTCTTACTAAGGCTTTATAAAGTGGTACTAATACATCATGTGACTTTGGTTCTATGCCTCTGTTTATACAACCAAGCATTAGCTTTTTTGGCTGCTGCCGCAGATTGCTGGCTCAGGTTTAAATGATCGTCCACTAAGATTCCAATGTCCCTCTCCCACTCCCTACTGTTTTTGAGCCAGGTTTCACCTAATCTGTACTTGTACCTTTGGTTTTTCCTGTCCAAGTGTAAAACTTTGCTTTCCTCCACATTAAATTTCATTTTGAATAGGGCCCATTGTTCAAGTCTGTCAAGTTCTTTTGAAGACAGCAAAGTCCACATTTTGGACAGAGAGGACCGCTGGTTTGAAAGAGGGGTCAAAGAAGCCATCTATGTCAAAACTGAACACCCCTCTCTTAAAAGAGGGGGAGGAATATAGCATCATCTATCTCCAGTCTACAACACAGTCCTTTAAGCAGTTCCAAGAAGGCTCCACATCCATTTGCACTATTCAGGTGACCCTGAGGTCACAGATAAACCTCCAAGTGGCCTCAATGACTCTTTAAAACAATGGAAATGACCAGCTGTCTGCAAGGAATATAAATTTATTTATTTGTTTGTTTGTTTGTTTCAATTTCTATACCGCCCTTCTCCAAATAGGACTCAGGGCGGTGAACAGCCAAAGTAAAAAACAGGACATACAAAATTTAAAAACAGTTTAAAATAATTAAATATTGTGGCCGCAAATTAAAACAACCCAATTTAATATCAATTTAATCCTTCCATTCCCCAACATCCAGTCAGAGCTGAAGAAGCTTCCTGGATAAAAAGTGAAACGACTTCAAAGAAAAACAAGAAAATCCAGTTGCCTCTTAAAAAAGCACCTTTGGGATACCCTACTAACCTTATACTAGCTTGCTGAAAAAAAATATTTTAAAAAGATCCTAGTCCAAGCTTGCCTTTTTCTCTACTATTGCAATTCCTAAAAAGGATTACAGGAGAAAATGCAGAGAGCTGGTCTAATCCAGCTAATTTTTTAAAACTAATTTTTTAAAAGTTATGGCTTCAAAACCTGGGTATTCAATACTATCTGCACTGCCCTCAAATAGAACTACTATAAATCCTACTCCATAATCCTAGTCCAGTGTTTCACAATTGTTGAGCATGCTGAGGAATTGGTTCACACATCAAAGTTGCTGAGACTGAAATTGCTAATCTAACAGTAATTTCAGCTCACTACAAATATTGAAAAACCAAGGAAATGTTCATTTTGTTTTAAGAACGACCTTTTCAATTCTGATTTTGGCCAGTCCAAAAGGTTATCTAGAACAGTGGTCCCCAACCCCCGGTCCGCGGACCGGTGCCGGGCCGTGGAGTACCTGGCACCGGGCCGCGCAGCGGCCGGGGGACATGAACGCTGCAGTGCAAAGGCTCCTGGGCCGTGCGCAATGGGCCGTGCGCAAAAGCTCCTGGGCCGTGCCCCCACCCCTGCGCGCGCTCAGCAGGCCGCGGCGATAAAAAGGTTGGGGGACCACTGATCTAGAAGATAAGGAAGTTGGCTGTTTACCTGGTCTTTAGTTTTTCCTTCACGTTCTCTGATGTACGTAGTAACAATTCTCTCTGTCTCTTCTCGCAACCTGGGATAGGAACCAAGCTAAGGACAATAAGATAAGACATCAGATGTTTGCAGCTTTAAGCACTATTTACACAGACATACAAGAAAAAAAGAAGATCTGTGTTGGGCTGCTTCCCTGTTTTATCACTGGGGAAGGATTGATTTACCAAATAAAAGAAATTTATTTTTACCAATTTAGAACAGATCTATTTTAATTTATTAATCTATTTTGACATATTTCCCTAATACTCCCCCAATGATTTTCTGGGAAATAGCCCAAGATCCTTCAGGGGTTTAGTAGAAGAAAGGAGCACACAGAAGACTGGCTTCTTAATATCAGAGGGAGCTGATTGTTCTCTTAGAGAGAGTTGTTCATTAAATATTGTATATATTCCAAAGCATCTTTCATGACATATATGTTTAATATAGAGACAATACCTCACAGGAAGTCATGTAAAATGTTCCTTTAGTTCCATTTCAAATCAAATACAACTATATTTGCTATGATCCAAGATACAGCATTACTATAGGACCCAATTGTATAGCTGATCCATGTGCAATAAACTACAGGAAAGGAACTTAATCAAATGAGTAACTGACCCAAATGAGTCAAAAGAACTAAGCTACTGGTAATAATTAACTAAAAGAATGGAACTTCATGTAGTGTCCATTGCTTCTTATTTGAATGCATTCAGGCTTTCATTTAGCTAGATATCATATGAAGCCATACTTCTGAAGTGTTACCAAGAGTTAAGGAGATAGCAGAAAAGTGGAAAAAAGAGTATAGACCCATTACCTTCTCTGAACACTTTTTAATGACCATGGCCAGCTCTGAGACCACCAGATCAACACACTTCAAACTGGGCTCTTTGAGCTTTATAATCTGTTTTTTCACTATTGCTTCAAAAGCCATATCAGGTGTGAAGAGCCCCGTCCTGCACCATGCAGAAAGTATGAACACAAAAGGAGAGATTCCGAAGAACAGAGGAAAAATGACAGAGAGGGAAAAAGAGATTGAAAAGGTTAGTAGTGTGCAAAATGAAAAAGCAGCAGCACTTCCTCAAGAAGATCCTTCTTGAATTGTCAAAATTAGCAGTTCCCTTCCAAGATCTTTCAAAAATTATGCTCCACAGAAGCCTCAGACAGGATTCAAATCCTGCAGCAAATGGACTGTAATCCAACTGGCTCATCCTTGTAAAGTATTCCATGTGACATTAGGTCTTCAGTAAAGGCATGGAAGTCCATCTCTTTCTTGCTATCCTCAAAACTGTTTTAGTATAGTGGCAGGGAAGGAGTTATGGTTGCTTCTCTTTGTGCCTACAGCTAGTCTGTTGGTCTAGAACAGGGGTGTCAAACTCAAGGCCCGGGAGCCAGAGCTGGCCCACGGGGTGTTTAGATCTGGCCCACGGGGCTGCCCTTGAAACAGCAAAGGACCGGCCCACAGTGTCTCTGCCAGCGAAAACGGAGCTCAGGAGGGTCGTGGGCAATCCTCCTGAGCTATATTTTTGCTGGCAGGGGGTTGCAGTAGGCCATCGCAGCTGAAAACAGAGCATGTGAGGGCCTTGGGCAGCCCTCCTGATCTCAGTTTTCGCTGGCAGAGGGTTGCAGGAAGCCATCACAGCCAAAAACAGAGCTCGGGAGCCTGTTTTTGCTGGCAGAGTGCTTGGGCCACACAGGCGCCCCCAACACGAGTGACGTCCAGCTGGCCATGCCCACCTTGGCCACACCCACCCTGACCCCCTGAGGCTAAACACAACCCTGATGTGGCCCTCAATGAAATTGTGTTTGACATCCCTGGTCTAGAGCATAATCAGCCAATATGGCACATGGGTTACAAGCACAAATATAAACATAGAAAAGAACAGAAAAGCTTCTTATGTCAGAAGCATATTTTTAAGTATTTCTTCACTGAAGAGCATCAACTTTTGATCTCAAAAGACTAGATTCAAATTTCCTTTAAGCATTGTGCTCTGCACAGAGTAATAGCACCTCATACTTAAGGTTTGACTTGTGGTTGGCTGCCAATGTCTGAAAGCCTTTTTACCTAGCAGGCATCTAAGGCAAATAGTGGGGTGGGGAGGGGGGGAGAAGGCATTGGAAGAACAGCATTGCCACTTTTAATAAATAGAATTATTGACTTTCCACTTCTGGAATAGATAATTAGCATCATCACTGGAGCATGAAATTGAGTTATTGTTTGTCTGACTGAATCAAAAGACACAAGACTCACATAACTTACTACTTTTCAATATCTACATGTATTCTCCATGTCAATGAAAATATTTGTATTGAATTTTTTTTTTCAATAAATTGTATAAGATGAATTTGGATATAATAGTTTTGCAAGAGACACATATAAAAAAGCAACATCAACATTTATTAAAATGTAACAAGTTAGGGAATGTGTTTATATCTTCATCATTGCAGAAGAAAGCGGGAATTGTGATGTATGTAAAGGAGGAAATTCTGGCCAAACAAATGTGTAAAGATGAGGAGGGTAGAATATTAATAGTAGATATAATGTTGAAGGAAAGAAAAACGATCTTGGTTGGAATATATGGGCCAAATGTGGGTCAAAAATTATTTTACAAGAAATTACATAACATGATGTGCATAATTGGTGATTTTAATGCGATTGTAGATAGAGAACTAGATTATAGAAATGATAGATTAATGAAAGGTGTCAGAAGGATATTACCTAATACATTTTTTAAAATGATGGAAGAATTGAGTATAAAGGATAGTGGGACGGAAAGAAATGGGAACAAGAAACAATATACATATTATTCTGGCAGACATCAATCTTGGTCTCGAATTGATATAGCTTGGGCATCAACAGAGTTAAATTTAGAAATTGAGGAAATTAATATTGACATAAACTCGTGGGCAGATCACAATCCTATTAAAATTAAGTGGAAAGGGCAAAAAAAGATGAGGTGGACTCTAAAAAAGCAATTTTGAACCAAAAGGAGTTTAAATTAAAGATGGATGACCAAATGAGCCTGTTTTTTCAAAGTAATAAAAAAGAGGATACGAATAATCAAAATTTGTGGGATACAGCAAAAGCTTTTATGAGAGGAATAGCAATAACATATATGGCTAAGGATAATAAACAAAAAAGGCAACAGCAGAAAAATTTGGAGGAGGATCTCAGTAAAATGGAAAAAGAATTGCAGAAAGAACCAAAAAAATGGGAGTTGAAACGACAAATAGATACAATTAAACATAAATTGAATATTATTGAAAAGGAAATTATGGTGCAACAAATAAAAAGTATTAAACAATTTTTTTTTGAGAATGCAAATAAGCCGGGACACTGGTTGGTTTATAGATTAAAAAAACAAAAGGAAAAAAGTCGGATTACTAAACTATATAATGATAAGGGAGAATTAATATGTCAAAATGAGGGGAAGAGAAAGGTGGCCTATGAGTTCTTTAAAAATCTGTATGAGGTTAAAGAAAAGATAGAGGAAGGCAAGATATAGCAGTATCTGCAAAAAATAGGACTGCCAAAAATCTCGGTGGAATGTAAAGCTTTATTAAATAATGAGATAACAGCATTTGAGATATCTGAGGCAATTAAAAAACAAAAAAGTAATAAAGCACCAGGTCCTGATGGTTTGCTGTCAGAAATCTATAAAAATCACCAGGAGATACTAAGTCCATTGTTACTAGAGGTATATAATGATGCCAAGATACCAGCATCGTGGAAAGAAGCAATAATTACATTGATCCCTAAGGAAAATTCCAATTTGACTTATATTAAAAATTATAGGCCGATATCCTTACTGAATTCAGATTACAAACTTTTTATGACAATCATGGCAGACAGATTAAAGAAATTTCTAGAAAATTTTATTCATTCTGACCAAAATGGCTTCCTGCCCAGAAGGCATATAAGGAACAACATTAGGACTATTTTAGACACCATAGAATATTATGAAGTTCATAATGAAAAACAGATGGCATTGTTATTTATCTATGTGCAAAAAGCCTTCAATAATGTCAAATGGGACTTTATATTAGAACAATTAAATTATATGGATTTTGGGGGGAAATTTATAAGAATGTATAAAGCAATTTATTTTAGACAGGAGGCCAAAGTGGTAAACAATGGGGAAACGACGAAGAATTTTCCAATCCAAAAAGGAACAAGACAAGGTTGTCCGCTCTCACCATTATTCTTTATTTTATCATTAGAGACTTTAATCAGAACAATTCGAGAAGGTTTAAAAATAAGAAAAGAAATTTTTTAAAGTACAGGCATTTGTGGACGATCTTGTTTTTATCGAAGAGCCTGTACAATCCGGTGTTAGGCTGATGGAAGTACTGGAGGAATATGGGGAAGTAACGGGCCTAAAAATAAATAAGGAAAAAACGAAAATGATAGTCAAAAATATGACTAAAGAGCAAAAAAAAAGAATTGGAGGGAAAGATAAATATTCAGACTACGAAAAAACTTAGATATTTAGGAATTCAATTGACCGCAAGATGGATCACACTCAAATTATGATAAATTACTGGCACAAATTAGGTCTGATTTGGAAAAATGGGGAAAATTACAGCTATCTTTAATGGGCAGGATAGCCACCATTAAGATGAATGTCCTACTGAAAATGTTGTTTCTATTCCAGTGCATACCAATTCGACTCAAAAAAGTTTTTTTTACTAATTTGGATAGACATATTTCAAAATTCATCTGGCAAGGGAAAAAACCAAGAATTAGATTAAAGTTATTACAAGATGCTAGAGAAAGAGGGGGATTCGGTTTGTCAGATTGGGGAAAATATTATCAGACAGCAGCTTTGGTATGGATAAATGAGTGCATACATCTCAAAAATACAAGACTATTGGTGTTAGACAGCCACGATTTACAGACAGGATGGCATGCTATTTTATGGGAGGAAAAGCATAAAATCCATCAGTACTTCCGAGGCATTATATCAGGATATAATCAGGATATATCAGATATCTATTAGATATCTGGATTAAGACAAAAAGAAGTAATTATATGGAAATTCCCAACTGGCTGTCAATTTTGGAAATGTATACTCATCCAAATTTTACTAAATTGGGGGGGGGGGTGTGGTTTGTCACCTATAAAGATATTCTGAATGAGAGAGGAGAATTGAAAGCGAGAAACGTTTTAAAGAAAGAAGGAATTGAATTGGAATGGTGGGCATACCTCCAAATACAATCTAAATTTAGCAAAGACAAAATGGAATTGGGTATAAAGCAAGAATTATCACAATTAGATAAGATTTTATTAAGCAGGGAGGGCAAGACCATAACTAAATTATATTGCTATTTATTGGAACGAGACATGATTGAGGAACAAGTCAAAGAAACTATGATAATTTGGAGTAAATATTTTGGGCATAGTATTGATTTGGACAATTGGCAGACTCTCTGGGAAAAAAAATTAAAAATTACATTAGCAACTTCACATAAGGAAAATTTATATAAGATATTTTATAGGTGGCACCCCCCTCCCCCACAAGATTAGCACGAATCAATAAGAGAAATTCTTTGGCATGTTGGAAGTGCGAGGTAGCTTCAGAGAACTTCTATCATATGTGGTGGGAATGCCCAAAGGCAAAGAAATATTGGAATCTGATAAAGAATTGGTTGGGAGAAATTTTGTTAATAAACATAGAAGCCAAACCGGAATTTTTCCTTTTGGGAATGATAGAGGGAAAATAAAGAAAGACATAAATTATCTACTTATAGCATATACTTACAGCAGCACCAACTGAAGAGGAAAAAGTACTAAAATTTTTCAACTGCACAGAAATGGATAGACTCACCTTGGAACTCAAGGATAAAAGCGAAACATTGTACTATAAAATCTGGGCAAAATTCTATTAATGGTTAGATAAAAGGAGGATAGCCGAGACAAATGTGTAGTGTTATACTAAATTATATATGTTATTATAGATAAATATGTATGTGAATTGTATAGATAGGTATATGTAGGTATAGATATGTATAATTGTATAGGAATAAGGTATAAATTACTATTATTATACTATGTTTAAATAATGTATAAGGTGTAAGGAATATACTATTATATTATCATTAGTATATTATGTATTAACTTAAAGTGTTGGAAGATGCTTGGGACCAGTGATGTCATATCTATGTTTTTAATTTTGAACTACTAATAAAAACCTTTTTAAGAAAAAAAAAAAGAAAATATTTGTGGAACATATAAGTGTTTTATATGCAAAGCAAATGGTTTGAACTAAGAAAATTCCAGTACAGTATATAGGCCTTTATATACATGATGGCTGTATCAGTAAAAAAGAGACCTCTTTCAGAAATCAGCACTTCAACTGCATTTCAGTGCCCGCTGTTTGTCCAGAACAAAAGTCCAACAATGATTTTTGGCCATTTAGGTTGAAAGAAATGCCACTACTAAAAAAATAGAACTAGTAACCAATCCCTCTTTGCATTCCTATTTTATCATTCTTATAATCTCTTCTGTCATCTTGCCAGTACCTGTTTTCAGATTAATAATAAGTTATTTCTATAACATAAAAATGTCCTATATTCTACTTTTGGGGAAAGACTTCTGTAATGAGTCCTATGGTATTTTAGTACACGCCAGCTGGACAACTACTACTGTAAAATCCCTGCATGGCATGGGTCCATCTTACTTGAAGAACCATCTCACCCCCTGGAACTGGCCTGCCCCAACTGCACTGGGAGAGGAGGCCTGCTGCGGGTCCCATCAGTCAAGGAATTCCAGCTGGTGGGATTCAGGAAAAGGACCTTCTTTGCCATGGCTCCTGCCCTTTGAAACACCTTATCCCCCGAGTCTGAGATGAGATTGGCTCCCACCCTTCTGACCTTCCACAAGAGCTTGAAGACCTGGCTTGGGGCATCAATGGAGGAGCATCACACTGGAAGTGGTTAATGAATTAAGGGGCAATCCCACCTCCATGCATTCTGCCTCCCTCCCCATCTTTTAACTATAATTTTAATTATGATTTTATTTTTATTGTTATTATTTCCATGTCATTGTTTTATAAATATTTATCTGTTAGGATTTTAATGTTTTAATGCTATAAGCTTCCCAGAGTTGTTTCGATACCAGATAGGCAGCAAATAAATTTAACAGACTAACAGACTGACTGACTGACAGACAGACAGACAGACAGACAGCCGGAGATCCTGTTGCATTTGACTAAGTGGGACTTGAAGGACCTTGGACAGCAAGTGCTGGCTTCTTCACAGTGTATCAACAAAAGCTCAATTCCTCAGTCAGAAATAGATTTAATCTATCACGTATAGCACTGCAAAGTCAAGCAATGTAAACCACTCTTCACAGAGTGTTCTTCACTCTTTGCTAATTATAAAAAATAACAAGAAGATACACAGATAATGAGATCCTGAAATCTTGGTTTGGACAGCCTGCTTGAATCCAAAAATATAATCATAGAGAAGTCAGTTTCCTGACAAATCAGGTTTTAAATACATGGCCAAGCCAATTATACTGGAATAATGGAATTCCTATTTGAAGGAGACTTTTAGATCAGAGACAGCGCATTACTTCAGCCAATGTAGTTAAGGTTAAACTGCTAAAACAACTTTAGCTTTATTGGCCCTGTTGCTATGAAAAAAATTCAGAGAGAGTGGTTGAAATGGCAGATCAAGAAGCCATGCACTTAATAGAAAGCCAGGATCCAAGAAGAAATCTGCTCACTAGTTTGAACAACCTCCAGACAGCTTACAAATGCTTCTGTTTGAGATCAAAAGATGAAAACAAGAGGGAGCTAGGGCTTACTGAAATGTGATGCCAAGATTGTTGTCTGGACCACATAAAGCCATATTTAAGCATTTTATAAAAATATAGGAAACAGGCAATCTCAACTTTAGCGAATCAAGATTTTAGAAGTTTGCAGCAATTCCTGGAGGTTGTATTTGGTAAGTTGGGAAAAATAGAATAGTAGAGTTTTAGGTTTTCCCAACTCAGTCAAGTAAGAGCTACAATAGCCAGTTCAATACCTTACTGGTACACTGCCTAACTGTATTGATTAATTCCTGAATAACCAAGTCGACACACTTCAAACAAGGCTCTTTCAGCTTCACCACCTGCTTTTTCACAATAGCTTCAAATGCCAAGTCTGGTGTGAACAGTCCCGTCCTATATCAACACAAGGAGGACAGAAGAGCATAAACACAGCAGAGAAAAAATAAGTGGGGAGGGGGAAAAAAGAGGTTTAAAGATGGGCAACATTCTAGAACACAATACCCTCCCGTAGCAAGACAGCTTTTCTGTGGCAACAAACCTCTCCTTTTGCTAGTAATGTTAGTTAAATAATATAGGGATGGAACAAGGACTTCAGAAAATAAAGATTATTATAGAAAGAGATAAGAACAGTTATATTTGTTGTTAAAGGTATTTTACAAATTGAGTTTCTAATATGCTTGTTCATAATGCTTTTATAATATCTTTGAATATAAAAAAGGAAATGCCAACATTATGTATTTTAGGAGAATTTTTTTTCCTTTACTAACTAGTTATCAGAGAATTAGAATGTGGAAGTGTGAAAAACAGCTAGCTACAAAATAGATCACAATGGATACTCTTGTTGGATAAGAGAAAAAACTGTTCTGGAAGCAATGGATTTTGCTCGCTGTTGCCCCCAAAGTAGCTACGAATAATAGGAAATAGTAACTTACCTTTCTTGTGTAATAGCAAGAATCACCTAACCTATATATCCCAACTATAGCTTATTCTTTTAAAAAATCATTCCAGAGTAGCAATCTATAAATACAAACCAATATGATCTCAACAATCAACATACTTTACTGTCAGTTACATCTTCATTTGCAGTATAAACAAAATAAAAAAATTCTAGATGGGAGGGAATCATCACATAAATGCTGTGCCATTCCCCTTGCCCTCAGGTTATAGCAGAAATAAAAAACTTCTCAGTAGATTTACAATCTGATGTCCTAAGCTTTTTTCACCCTCACCTCTAGCTGAAATTAATTAACAGGAAGTAGTTGTAGTTTAGGTTTGTGAATCTCTAGTCATGCCAATCATTAGTTTGGTCTGGTGGTTTAAAGCACCAGGCCAGTGGCCAAGCAGAACAATAGGCAGGAAAGCTGGCTGGCCTTAGGCAGGAAAGCTGGCTGGATAACTCTGGGCCAGTCTCCCTCTCTCAGCCTAATAATGTTTTGGGGTTTTTTTGCTTTAATTTATATGCCGCCCTTCTCCGGCGACTCAGGGCGGCTTACAATGCGTTAAGCAATAGCCTTCATACTTTTGTATATTTATACAAAGTCAGCTTATTGCCCCCACAATCTGGGTCCTCATTTCACCTACCTTTGAAAGGATGGAAGGCTGAGTCAACCTTGAGCCTGGTGAGATTTGAACTTGCAGTAATTGCAAACAGCAGATGTTAATAACAGTGCTTTAGTCCACTGTACTACAGGCTCTGTTCAATGTTGCTCACTGCTTTGAATTATTTATAAAAATAATAAAAGTGGGATAAAAATAAATAATGTTTCAGCACAACATTCTCATCAACATTTTTCTTGATTTCAAGATAATAGGAAACATTTTCAGTAGCAAGCAGCTTCCCAAACTATCAGCTGCTTTGGATGCCCCACATAAGTATCATTATATACATTTTATGCCATGTACATTCAATTCAGTCTGAATACTTGCCTTATACCATGGATGTTTTTGATTGCATAGCTGATTTCACGTCGCAAATCTTTCTCATCAAACTCCATCTAAAGAAAAATGCTGATATTTAACAAAAAGACTTCTTTTTCTTCCATGTCTAGACCTTTTCCAAAAATATCTGCATTTATGTGGTCATGATTGACAGCCATTTTATAGTGCAAATATCTATGTCAAGATGCAAGATCTGAGGATATAATAAGCAAGAGCAAGGTGCTCACCATAATAACCAGTGGAAGAAGAAACTGGTAGCTCCTCTCATCCAATCTCAGGGATTAATTCTGTTTCCATCTAGTGGGAGGAGGGCCACTGAATTTCACTGTACACTTTAGCATCTATATACCCTACTCTTTAGTCAATATTCAAGTCATAGCAACAATGATGCTGTCTATTAATAATTACTCTCCAGATTTCCTGGCATAGGATGGAGAATCCATATTATGACATGACATTTGAAAGTTGGACAGCCTAAGTGTAAGGAAGCATATTATGCATCCATTCTTCAAAACAGAGTTTAGAAAATTTATCTGGATCAATAGATAAAATCTTCAACATATAGTTCAATGCTTTAATTACTAGATGACTTCATATTATTACTTCTTGAATTGGTGTCAAGTTATCCACTCCCAAGATGAAGTTCAAAAAAATGGACTGTCTGTTCTAAAAAGGGGACATTTACATATCCCAACAATTGCACACCATATCTGACTAATAAGCTAAGGATAGTAGTAAGAGCCCACAGAATTGCTTAAAAATTAGAATCAGGTGGGAAGGTGGATACAAGCTAAGCAAAATATTCTTTTAGCAATAGCAATAACACTTAGACTTATATACCGCTTTACAATGCTTTGCAGCCCTCTCTAAGTGGTTTACAGACTCAACATATTGCCCCCAACAATTTGGGTCCTCATTTTACCCACCTCAGAAGGATGGAAGGCTGAGTCAACCTTGAGCCTGATGAGATTTGAACTGCCAAATTATAGGCAGCCGGCAGGTAGCAGAAGTAGCCTGCAGTACTGCACTCTAACCACTGCACCACTGTGGCTCATATTTTATTTATGAAGTTCTATTTAATTTCCGACAATGCAACATTTCATATTTAAATAAGAGCTAATCTAACAATAGCTAGATCCAATATCTATAAAACATAGATAAAATAATTTAGCACAGGTCTTCAAAATTTGAAAAGGCACTATTGCTATTTCCACTCTAGTTCAGAGTCAACAACTTACAGCCTGTGAGCCAGATTTGGAGTGACACCTGTTTTCATGAGCTAAGAATGGATGGATGAGTGGGTGATGCCACCCACTCATCCATCCATTCTTAGCTCATGAGAGCTTATGGCATCATCAGAGTTTCTGGGGCAAGGAACAGGGCCAAGCATCTTAGCTATAATAGCCTAGCAGTGATCTCCTTGCTGGAAGGTTGGTGGAATCCAATGGCTTAAAGACTTCCAGGCACTCCCGTGGATGAAAAGAAAGATGCAGGATTATACAAAAAATTCCCAATTGCCACTCTAGGTTAACATTTAGTCTGTTGGCTTATTGTCATTGTAATAATTCTATGTTTTTGAACACTATATGTTATATATGTATTAGTTTTAGAAAAAGGTACTATAATTTGCAAAATTTCTCAACAACCAAAAGTCTTCAGAACATGAAAGTTTGTGATAAGATTTTTATCAGGAAGGAAAGCATGCAAAACCCAACTGCTGTTACATCTGCAATCAGCATCTACATTTTTTTTTTTAATTTGATTTATATGCCGCCCTTCTCCGGAGACTCAGGGCGGCTTACAATGCGTTAAGCAATAGCCTTCATACTTTTGTATATTTATACAAAGTCAGCTTATTGCCCCCACAAACTGGGTCCTCATTTAACCTACCTTAGAAAGGATGGAAGGCTGAGTCAACCTTGAGCCTGGTAAGATTCGAACCTGCAGAAATTGCAGGCAGTTGTGTTAATAACAGGGTGCATTAAACCACTGTACTACCAAGGCTCCCTTAAAGAATCTTGAATTTGAAGAATCTTGTTTGAGGATTGTAAGGTTGATATTCCAAGAAGGATAAAGTTATGTATAGTTCCATATTACATATAAGCCTATTCAAAGTCATGGAATCTATAGCAATCCACCCTTACAATTCTATTGCAATTCAGTGCATATATATTGCTATAAAGCTATAACTGTTGATTGTTACCTAGTTATATTATTGTGTCACAGAAGAGAATAGCATGTGTACAATTGTGCAATTTCATGGATTGCTTAGTGCTCTCTCTCAAAAATCTTGTTTCGATGTTAATTACTTTGATTTAAAAAATAATTGCAGGATGCCACCTGATGTTTTTGCCTCCATTGTGATATTGTATTCCCTGCTGTAACATATTACAAAGAGAGTTCTGAATGCCAACATTTCTGGCTGCCAAAAAGTAAAGTGTCAGGTCTGTCCCAACTGGAAGTTTAGGAAAGAAAGACCCTCAACTCCATTTTTCAGTGAAGGTATACTTTTACTAAAGCCAAGTGGTTGTAGCATAAGCAAAATCAGATCTGAGGATTCCCATGTAAAACTGGTATTTTTCCCTTCTCCCAGGCCCTCTTCCCTTGGTCATCTTGTTAGCGTCCAATAAGGTTCAAATTAGTTGCTTTGGTAACAGTTCTAAAGTTTGGTGCCTCTCTGGTGGAAGTTGGCATTCCGTTCCCATGGATTGTTCAACCATTGCCCTTGTTAGCAGTTCTGGTTCCTGTCATTCCCCCCCTCCCTGTATCCCTCTATCCCAGTGATGGTGAACCTTTTAAAGACCGAGTGCCCAAACTACAACCCAAAACCCACTTATTTATCGCAAAGTGCCAACATGGAAATTTAACCTGAATAATGAGGTTTTACTACCTAAAATAGTGATAAACAATGCAGAGTTCAGCTAATTGTTCTAAGAAAAATGTGATCAATGCACTTTTATGCTTCTTCATTTTTTCCTGTTTTTGAACTATTACATTTAGCAACAATAAAAAAGAAAAACTTTTGTAATATCATCTTTCTTTCTCTCCCCCTCTCTCTCCCGCTCTTTCTCTCTCTCTTTCCCTCCCTCTCTCTCTTTCTCCCATCTCTTTCTCTTTCCCTCCCAGAAAGGGAAAGGGAAATGCAGAAAACCGCCCAGCAGCCCAGTTTCATGTGACCCACTCCCTCCTCAATCAGGGAGCAAGGGAAGACCTTTGCAGGGCAGAGCTGAGGATTTTGTACAGTTTCTGCATGATAAAATCGCTCAGATCCGGATCGAATTGGACTCTGACTGGGCAGAATCCAATCGGGAGACTAGGGTGGGTCTTGAGAATAATATCTGGATTGAGTTTAACCCTATTTCTGTCAAGGAAGTGGACAGGATTGTGGGCAAACTTAGTTCCTCCACTTGCTTATTAGACCCTTGTCCCTCCTGGTTGGTTTCGGCTGGCAGAGAGGTGACTAGAGACTGGATCCAGGCAATTGTCAACGCTTCGTTGAGAGAGGGGAACTTCCCCGCCTCTCTTAAGGAGGCGGTGGTTCGACCTCTCCTCAAGAAGCCTTCCCTGGATCCAGATTCACTTAATAACTATCGTCCCGTCTCCAACCTTCGCTTCATTGCGAAGGTTGTTGAGACTATAGTGGCTCAACAGCTCCCACAATTCCTGGAAGAAACGGAATACCTTGACCCGTATCAATCAGGCTTCCGACACGGTCACAGCACGGAAATGGCATTGGTCGCTCTGGTGAATGATCTCTGGCGGGCTCAGGATGGGGGTTGTTCCTCCATCCTGGTCCTACTTGACCTCTCAGCGGCTTTTGGTACCATCGACCATGGTATCCTACTACAGCGACTTGTGGGGTTAGGGGTGGGAGGCACTGTCTTACGGTGGTTTTCCTCCTACCTCTCGGGTCACTTTCAGTTTGTTTGGGCGGGAGGGCAGAGATCCACCCCGAGGCCCCTTAATTGTGGGGTGCCTCAGGGGTCGGTTCTCTCTCCCCTGCTCTTTAACATCTATATGAAGCCACTGGGTGAGATCATTCGTGGCTTTGGGGTGAGATATCATCAATATGCTGATGATACCCAATTATACATCTCCACCCCAGACCACCCCAGAGATGCCCTTTCCGTGATGTCCCGTTGCCTGGAGGAGGTACGGGCCTGGATGGGCAGAAACAGACTCAAACTCAATCCCTCTGAGTGGCTGTGGATGCCGGCATCTCGGGTTTCAGAGGCTCCATCACTTTTGATAGATGGGGAAAAACTTGCACCCGTTGATAGGGCTCGCAACTTAGATGTCCTCCTGGATGCTCGGCTATCCCTAGAAGACCATCTAACGGCCGTGACCAGGGGGGGCCTTCGCACAGGTTCGCCTGGTGCACCAGTTGCGCCCTTTCCTGGACCGAGATGACCTTCGCACAGTCACTCATGCCCTGGTTACTTCCCGCTTGGATTACTGCAATTCCCTCTACATGGGCCTGCCCCTGAGATGCACCCGGAGACTCCAGCTGATCCAGAATGCAGCTGAATGGGTTGTTATGGGAGCCCCTTGTTACTCCCATATAACACCCCTCCTGCGTGAGCTGCACTGGTTACCAGTGGTTCTCCGGGTCCGCTTCAAGGTTCTAGTCCTCACCTATAAGGCCCTTCATGACTTAGGTCCGGGATATCTGCATGACCTTCTCCTGCCTGCCTCTCACCATCCTGTTCGCTCACATAGGGCCGCTCTCCTCAGGGTTCCGATGGTGAGCCAATGTCGTCTTGCTATGCCCAGGGGTAGGGCGTTCTCTGTGGGTGCTCCCACCCTCTGGAATGAATTACCTACTGAGCTCCGGACAGCTCCTGATCTCCGCTCCTTCCGTTGGGACTTGAAGACTTGGCTTTTCAAACAAATAGGCTGAGACTGATTCCGGGCTTTATTATTTACTACTAATTAATTATTTGGATTAAATTATGATTTTATTGTACTTGTTTCTTAACCTGTGTTAGCTGCCCTGAGTCCTTCGGGAGAATGGCGGCATATAAATACATGTAATAAATAAATAAATTTATAGTTG